TCTCTCTCTCTCTCTCTCTGTACCCGGAGCATCCCTCTCTCTCCTCACTCAGCGGAGGAGGATGCTGCCTCTCCAGCTCCGAACATTATCTGCGCATCTAAGCCACCGGTGCTGATCATTACAGCGGGTGACGGCTGCAGGACGATGTGCTGAACACGGAGCTTGACTGGAGCGTCCCCCCCCCCCTCCTCCCCGAGCATCTGCGAGGATCCCGGTGCGCGCAGCGGTGCAGAGACACGCACTGGATCACCATCCTCTCCCTCTTCAATTATTAACCACGTATCTGTTCCTCAAGCTCAACATATGCCGCTGCTGCCTTTGTTTACTCCCGTGCACCAGCTGAGAACCGCGGTGGACCAGGCGGGGACACCACGGATGGACACCGATGGCCAGGCGCCCCAGATTTCACCAGAAGGGGGGACGCAACCTAAAATAACCCCGGTGCCAAATGGTAAGAGAGCGGATTCATGAGCATGAATCAGTGCGGCGGCGGCGCAGGGGTGATGCTGTAACATCTCTGCGGTGCATGTGTGGGTTTGACCCTGGCTGCTGAATTATCCCTGCGGCTCTCTGCACGACGCACACCGAGGAATCCGTGACACATCCTGCGTCTCCAGAGGCACCGTCCCCCCTCCTGGACCCCCCTGCACCTCCATCAATAGAATTCCGGACACCGGTGACTCTTTAATGGCTTTTGTGTTCAGGAGATGGAGGGTTTTACTAGTGCTCAACGTGCTCGCCGTCGCCGGCTTCATGACTTTTTGGGCCAAGTGCAACACAGGACGCAGCGTCCAACCCGCCGGTCCGGAGGCTCCGGCTGACGGGAAGAGGCCCCGGGGCAACGGGACGGCGCAGGGGCCCAGCATCAGCCATGAGGTGCTGCTGAAGAGGCTCAGCTCGCTGGAGGACGTGGTGTACCGGCAGCTAAACGGTAAAGTGCAGGGTGACATTTAAAATAAAAAATACCAGGTCAACCCAAATGTGCAACAGCAGGAAAAGTCGTTCCACTTGTGGCCCTGACATGTGAGACAGTACAGAGGAAGAGGTCCATTAATAACCTGACACTTTATCTCAGTCATTCTAAGATAATTCACTAAAGATCTGAATCCACTTCACTAACCTTTTTCAAATAAATGTCACCAACTGTTAAGAATATACCAAACTCTGCAGCTGAGGGACAAAGATCAGCAATAAAATTTGATTTAAAACAGTGACTCAGCTTGTATTTTCATATTGCACATATATTTTACACATTTTATTTTATTGAATAGCTTTTTCTTTTTGCTCTTGTGCTTTAGGTTCCTGTCTTTATCTTTTTCATGAACTACAGCACATGCATCTTATTTTGCTTTATCTTTTGCCCTATTTTATAATATTTGTCACGCTTATTCCTTATACATTGAAAACCCTCTTGGCAATACATCTGATTCCGATTCTTCTAATCTAAGTGTCAAATTTGCATTTAATTGGATAAGGTTATCTTATCCACTGCAAGAAATGACCAACATTTTAAATATGCGTTATCTATTTAATGTATTTTCCAGAAACAATGAAAACCTTCTTTTAACCTTTCTAAATTAAGTGCATTATTTACAATGCATGTGTTTGTTTTCTTTTTTGAATCTTTAAAAGGTTTTCTGCAGGGTCTTAAAGAGTCTGAATCAGAATTTTGGTTCTTAAAAAGTCTTAAATATATAATATACTAGATTAGATCTGTCTTATTTCTTATGTGCTTAAAAATTTTATTTTTCTTCTCCAGAGAAATTTTTTCGCCGCAGTTTGTTATGTCTGTTGTACTTCTTTTTCAAAGATACACATATTTTAACACACTGTAAAAAAAACTACAGACAAGACACATCTGAAACTGCAACTACACTTTTTTTGGCTGTGGTGAGATTATCGTGGTGTTTTGTGGGCTATACTCTCTACTTCACCTCAATTATAGGGAGGTGGGACTCTGATATTCCCTCAGATCTGTCATACTTTTTCTTATTACTATTTCTTAAATTTCTTTCATTTTTGTCTTAAAAAAATTCTTAAATCTAACTTGTTGAAATCATTTGAAACCCTATTTGAGCACCTTATCCCCAGTGAGGTGAAATGTTCCTCCCTGCAGAGAGGTCAGAGGTCAGAGTCGAGTCTTTTCGGGATTCGTTGCTTTCAGGATTCTTAAGCAGGATGTTTGCCAGCACAGAAGCTTAAGCACAGCTTGTCACACTGACACTTTAATCACTCTGCCACCCACAAACACACCAAGTCTCTCCGCGAAGAATCTCATTCTCTCCCTAATTTGAAACGGCAGAAAACCATGAAGCTTCATAAGCAGCTCTCGGCTTTGAAATGAAAGGTTTGAAAGGTTTTCTGACTCATATCATCAAGCAGAGGGTTTCTGTAAGTGTGGTTTTCAGGTATTCTCTATGAATCTGTGCCAGCATTCGTCAGTTCAGAAGTTCACCTGTTCCGACAGCGGCTGACAACACACTGTATGTTCATCTGAGGTTGGAGCTGTGACAGGGGGGGCAGGCTATCAGCTGAGAGCCACATAGAACGTTACAGAGCGGAGAGTGGCTCAGCCGGACTAAAAGATCCTGACAACTAATCTTCCTCTGTTTGCCTCACGCAGGTTTGTCCAAATCTCTGGGCTTGATTGAGGGCTTTGGGGGCCGGGGTAAAGGCGGCCTCCCCGCCACGCTGTCACCATCCGAGGAGAGCGACGCCAAATTCCTGAGGGAGAAATATGGCTACAACGCCTACCTCAGCGACAGAATCTCTCTGGATCGGACCATACCAGACCACCGGCCCAGCAAGTGAGAAACTTTGAATTTCACTTTCACGCTTGATTAAGGACAATGACATGAAACTGATTTTCTCGTGCCCCCCTGGTGGTGTCCAGTCAAACACAGACATTTGGTTTGGAAATGAGATCTGTTTAAAGAGATTCTGTGAAGATGAATTTGTTCTTATTTTTAAATGTCATAACAGCGTTTAGTAGTTTTCCCCATCGCTCTGTCAGAGAAAGATTTGATAGGAACTACTTGTAGTTCAGACATCACCTGCGTCAGCTGTGGGACAATCAGAGGACATGACACATCCAATCATATTCGCGCTGGTATAGATCACAGCCATTAACAACCTGATACTTCTCACTGCGGTTTCACTCATATGACCATCACATCCGGTGTGTAGACGGATACAAAGACAGCTTCTCATTTCTTTGTTGAGCATGTGTCGTCTATATAAAAAATCCAAACCAGCACAAATGAAATCTGACATATTGAATGCCTGACCATCGATCTACAGGTATGATGAACACACAAATCAAACACACACCTACAGGTCACGCTTTGGGACATTAGATAGACTATGATTCATTTTTACATTAACCACATACCAAAAAATTGTCTTTTCCCAACAGGGGACACAGCTCTTGTCCAGAACCAACTGCTCTTTGGTTTAAAAATGTGTCCCCAAAGGCAGCTTATGACACGTTGACATAACGTTACCACAACCGTAACATGAACCCCTGACCCAAAATCAGCTTTTTCTCGATTGGGCAACACAGATTTTGTCCCCAATTCAAGTCTTTGGTCTCCAGTATGTCTTCCAGATTAGCCACAGTGTGTTGTGTATCTCCATGCATGTTGCAGGGTTTTTCCGTCTCTGGCCCACATTGCTGGTACTGATGAGAAACCCTGTGACCCATGGCTGCCATTGGCCGTGTGTGTTTGTGTGTTTTTTGGATGATGGTGCAGTGGAGGGATCAGAATCCAGCGGTCTCATTTGTCTCTCGTCTTTTCTGTGGCGGGGATCACAGTGGCGTGTGAAGGCATGTAGGGGTGTGATACCTTCAGGCTCAGCAGCAGCAGCATGGAAATCTGAGAAGTCTGTGGAGGCTGCTGTGTTTGGCCGAAGGTCCCTTCAGACCGCAGAGCTGGAGAGACTGAGAGATGAAGAGGGACAAAGATCAAATGTTAAAACCTAAATATTTGAATGGTAAATGGACTGTAGGTATATAGATTGTTATTATCAACCACTTATTCATTCATACAGCAATTCTATATAAAGCTGTCAGGGGCAATGTTAGGGATAGAACCACTGACCCTCTGGTTGGTGGAAAACTCGCTCTACCCCCTGAGCCACAGCCAAAGTAACACTTATGTATAGTTTTTTCGATCTTCTTTAAATTTGTCTGATTCTAATTGATCGTTGACAGTTTGCACGGTTCATATCATCAGATGATTCTTTAATTATGGACCGATAAAAAGCTGCAGTGCAGAAATGTAAAGACACGAGTCATCAGCTGATGAGCCGGCTCCGACAGTCACACCAATGAGGATGTTGTTGTAACGTGACAGGTTCACACTCTCACACTCTGCTCTCTTCTATCTCCCACACTCTCCTGCCTCCTCCTGTTCTTATTACCAGAGTCACTGTGGCATATCTTGTTTGTACATTATGAACATGCAGTCAGTGGGATATGAATCAGCTGGATTTCAAAACGCTTCCTTCAGATTGTTGCACTGGTTGTTTTCCTCTGCGATCTATTAAGCTGTGAACTGTCTGTACCTTTGTTCCTAAATCCTGTGAATGAAGCGTCTGATTGAACAAGTGAAACATCCTTCTTTTAAAAAGTTAGGTTTCCAATCTGGGTCATTCTGTGTCAACTCATCACACTTTGAGGCCACACAGTCACAGATCTTTATGAAATTTGTTACGCTGGTTTGGTCAAATAAGAAATACACGGAATCTGAATTTCATGCACTTTGGATCGTACAAACTTTTTTGTGGGGGAATCTCTGACTTTTGACTGGTGAACAAATGGTTCTCATGTTGTTTTAATGTTTTTTTCCAGTCCCAAATCTAACTTCACAGTACGTTATGCCTCATGTAACAAATTAGACCATTATGAGATACAGATAAGATCAAATAATCCGTTTTTAGTCCCACTATGGGGACATTTACCATGTTACAGCCCCAAAAGGGATTAATAAAACACAAGGAGCTATATAAGATAGAAATATGTACAATGTAAATAAAATACAGTTAAACAGCAAAATTATGAGAAATTATGTCAGTTAAAGTAGAATTGCGCAAAAAAGACTAAATTGCTTTGGTTTTTGGTTTTTGAGTCGCTGCAATATCACATCATTAAGTCCTTTATCTACTGTTGTTGAACAGCAGTGATCAGGGTTAGGGTCAAAGGAATACAACATGGGTGAGGGGGCCACATTTTTATCGTTATCCAAGATCCATAACACTATGGGTTGTGATCTGATGTGATGATGACACACAATGACCCGTTTAAGTTTTATTCAACTAAACTTCCTTTGTTGGCAGACGTCACTGTTCCACTAACAGCTATTTTTAAACCTGTTTCCTGCCAAAAACCCTACAAAAAAAACAAAACAGTAATCCAACCTCATGAATTTTCATGAAAATGCTGCATTCATTATAGATGTTCTCATAATTAACATTTGATTTCACGTGGAAATAAGATTATTGATTAAAAGGAGATTAAACAAGTGGAGACAAGTGCAGGAAGGCGTTTCCTCTCCCACTCTTCCTAAACTTAGAGCCTCACCCGTCCTCTTTCCTCTTCATTAGAGCAGTTTAAACAAACCTGCAGTAAAAATAGATCTCCTATCTGCGGCAGACGCACTGTGAACACTCCAATTTGGGTTAAAATAAAAATCCATGTGATGAAGCAGCACATGGTTACGGCACTTCAGCCTCATGGAACAAGATGTCAGCAGCTCCAGCGAGACAATTTGTTCTTCTACAGGAATGATAACAGACAAGTGAAGCGTGTGAAACTGCAGAACGCACGCTTCGTAGGTAGGCATGGAAAGGTTTCATTTTACAGATGGTGTGTGTGTGCGTTTCATTGTAGATGCAGAAAGGTCAGCTATCCCAGGGACCTCCCCCAGATCTCCCTCATCTTCATCTTCGTCAATGAGGCCCTGTCCGTGATCCTGCGCTCCGTCCACTCGGCTGTCAATCACACGCCGGCTCACTTGCTCAAAGACATCATCCTGGTGGACGACAACAGCGATGACGGTCAGTAGAGAGATTTCCTGTTCCTGTTTATCTGAAGTACAATACTGTATGAATGATAAGAGATGAGAACAAAACTCCACTGATAATAATGGATGAAACAAAATCTACACAACAAACATGTAGTAATTATATTCAATTATTGTTATTTGAAATAATTTTACTCAAACTTTGAAGAATATATCTACAAATATTATCTGCAATTATCTGCAAATCTCATATAACTATGACGAAGGAGACACTGAAGTTATGAGGAATTGAATGTTCAGGAATAGATTTGTTATGTTTTTTACCAACAAGTATAGTTTGACATTATGGGAGAAGAAGCTTATTTACTTTCCTGTCAAGAGTTAGATGACATTATTGATCAGTAGCCTGCAGGTGGTTATCTTATCTTAGCCTAGCATAAAGACTGAAACTCAGTCTAACGTTAACAACATGCACCTGACATCATCCAGAGAATCAAACCGATCGAGTTGATTTATCTCTTGTGCACAAATACTGAAGTGTAAAAACCTCAGTTCGCCATTTTACTGGAGGCTTCGAGCTGTTGCCGAGCAACCAGCGCAGACCTGATGAAGTTAGTGATGTCAGTGGGTATTTAACAGACAGGTGTGAGTGTGGTGTGAGTCTAATAAACTAATATAAGTTGTCGTCTGTGCCATAGAAAATGATTGAAACCTGGGATCCAGATGTTATCATCACCACAAAAAATGGTGTATGTTTAAGGCACATTTGCATAAATAGCCTCTGATTTTTAATCTACAAAGACATAAAACATGTTCGAGACTCCAACACAATGCAGAGCCTGTGATTATGCTTGTTTCACAAACATGCTGTGACATAAAAGAGTTGCTAATGGGACGAGGGCGTCAGACTTTGACAAGGTGACGAGCGTCTCCTTCACAAAAGCTGCGGTCGCTGCTTTCGCTAAGGGTGAGTGATGGGGCTGAATTTCTGCAGGGCAGACAGATTGAGGCGGAGCGCCACAATTGGATGTCACGGGAGAGATGTCCCCGTCTTATTTATTGGGCAGAGCTGTCGAGCACCAGGAGATCGAGGGACGGAGAGAGACGAGGGGAAGGGATGGAGGTGAAATCAGGCCGAGCGAAAAAAGGAAAGAGGCGGTAAAAGAGAAAATAAAAGAGTCGGAGATGTTTATGCTGGGGAGAAATCACGGGAAAAGGGATGAAAGTGAAGGAAAGAGTGGTCAAGGAATGAAAGAGGTCAAATGCTTTGAAAAATAGGCAAAACGGAAAGGAGGGCAGAGGAAGAAAAGAGAAACAGAGATGAAGAGGCATGTGAGAATGAAAGGAGAGTCTGAGAGAGCAAACCAGGCCATTAGAGAAAGTGACAGAGCGAGGATGAGAGACAGAGAGGCTCTTAGATAAATTAGGTCGGACAGAGAGGAGGAGAGAGAGAGAGAGAACAAGGGAATGGAGAGAAAGAGAGGAATCTAACAAAATGAAAATAACAAGAAAAGAGAGAGATGAGGTGGTCAAGCCACGAATGATCTATTTCTCTTTTTCCATAGAAACACCAAAACCTGCCATGTGTTCATCTGTCACTCAACACTGTGACCCTCCTGCCTCGAAAACTATATTCAAGCAGGAAATAATAAATCGTATATTGTGTGGGTTGGTGACTAGTTTCAGGGTTCATGGATTTTATTTTTGTAGTTTTTAATATTAATTCTACTGATTAACTCCACCAAGTAGGTTATTGTTGAATGTTGAAAGATAACAAGCAAATTACTGGACGGATTACTATGAAACTTGGTGGAAGGATGTGGTATGGGTCAGGAATCATTTGATGTGGAATCCAGGAATTTTATTTCACGATCTTTAAATTGAAAAATAGGACGTTTTTCAATCTGGTTTTCAATCAGCAGGGAATAATTCATGGGACTATAGATAAAGAAGAATCAGGTACATTTAGAGAACTGATATCTATGAGTTTGTGTATAATTTAGTGCAGCTGGATTAATGATATGCTTAAGGAGAGCATACGTGTTGCCACCACTCCTCCGCTCCTCACCCCTCCACTCCTCACCCCTCCACCTCCCATCTCTTGACGCTGCTGATTGGCTGAGATGCAGCGTTCAATCACAGAGAGGAAGAGATGGGACGCAAACAAAAAGCAGTTACTGCCTGTGTGAGTCACTCGGCTCCATGGCCTTGTATTGTACACAGCTGAGTGTGTGTGTGTGTGTGTGTGTGTGTGCGTGTGTGTGTGTGTGTGTGTGTGTGTGCGCGTGAGGGAGAAGAGACAGCATGGGGAATGAGTTTGTGATGAAGAGTGTGTGTGTGTGTGACAGAAATAAAGATGCAGACAGAAAGAGAAGGAGAATAAAGACAGCATGAGAAATGTGTTTTGGTGTGAGGGAATTTTAAGTGAGTGTGTGTTTATGTTGCAGAGGAAGGAGGGTTGTGAGTGTTTGGGTTCCGGGGGAAACGGCTGATGAGTTGACAGAGAGATGAAAGTCGGGAGTCAGCGTTGACGCCCAGGAAGCCGCAGACTCCCCTCTGTGTTGTTTGGAGTCTGCTGGAGCTCAAAAAGCACCAGAGGGAACAGAACACAACTGTGTCACCTCTCTGTTCCTCTATGTGTGTGTGTGTGTGTGTGTGTGTGTGATTTGTCTCTTTATAAAAACATGTGGGTGATCTTTTTTTTGTTTGTTTGTCAGCAAGATTAGACAAAAACAACTGAATGGATTAACCAGGAAACTTGTTGGAAAGATGTGGTGGGTCAGAAAAGAACCAAGTCATTTTTGTGGAAATCAGCTCAGGGGACGAATCCAGAACTTTTTTCCACTTTCTTTAACATTAATAATAGAATGTTTTTCAATATTTTCACAATTTTCCCCAGATAATAATTTGGGGATCTTGATGAACACAAAAATCGAACAGATATTTATGTGTGTGTGAATATGGTGCAGTTTGATATAATTGAAGGGGCTTTTTTAGTCCATGTCTGTGTTGGTGCTTTACAATGTCAATCAAATCTTAATTGGCTAAATAAATAAATAATAGAATTTATAATTTAGTATTCAATTATAAGTTTGAGTATGAATTTTCTTTTATAAACACCATATTAACCACTTGGTTGAACCTCTTACAGGTTTTTAGTGCTTCTAGAGTCACATTTTTAGTATTTAAACATTTAGTAAGGAACTTAAATGCAGTTTCAGCCTGATGGAAAACAGTTATCTCACTCGAGTTTTATGCATGGGGATTTCCAAAGACATTTCGAAATGTCAAAACTGTCATATGAAATTTATTGGCTATTTTTAGTCCTTAATCTGTGGGATGTTGACAGGCAGATACATAAAATGTGATTCTTTACTGAACGCTGTAAAGAAATTATCTATGTTTTTACCCTCTTCTTCATTCAAAGGTCAGGGTCGACGACAGGGATTGCCAGGGCTTCATCATGTTGTTCAATGACCCGTCAGCATGAAGGACGACGCTGTGATCACAGATTTAAAGGCCGTCTCTCTAACAGTCTCTTTAACCTGTCGTTCACACTGCAGAGCAGCTGAAGGGACCTCTGGAGGAGTATGTGAACAAACGTTACCCCGGCCTGGTGAAGATCGTCAGGAACCAGAAGAGAGAGGGACTCATCCGGGCCAGGATCGAGGGCTGGAAGGTGGCCACCGCCGAGGTGACGGGATTCTTTGACGCCCACGTGGAGTTCACGCCGTCCTGGTGAGTTATATCTGGAAGGAATGATAGACACCCACTCTTACAAAAGCTGTTTTCAAGCATGAACTCTGGAGGATGTCCGCAGAATTGGGTTTGGACTTTCACCGGAGTTTCTCTTTCACACATGAATAATGCAGCAGGAGAATCTCCACTCAGACACTTTCACAACAGCACAGAAATCTCCGGATCGTTCAGGTTAAGGTTGAATTCTTCATCCTGACATATTTTTTCTTTTAGTTTTCTTTTTTCATCTGTCATGTGTTAGAAACATCATCAACACGCACACTCGTTCATGGTGAACCCCGCTGAGGATCTCCTACTCCTACTTAAAACTATGGAGCTGGTCGGAGAAGGTCTGCAGAAAGTGTGGTTTTCCCGAGTTCAGTCCACGTCTGAAAGCAACTAATATGAAGTCGGGAATTAATTCATCTATGAATATTTGAAGCTAGTTATTCTAAATGAAGGACTCTGATTGCGATAACAGCAAAAGCAATGATCGTGTTTAAAGGAGAGTTTCACAGTGTTTTACAGAAACGCTGAACGAGGGAACAAGGGAGAGGCGAAGCAGCATAAAACCAACACGAAGCAATTTCACACCTGAGAAGTTAAAGGATACGGAGGAAGGAGAAGGGCAGAGTCTGTAGAAACAGGATTTACAGATACTGTGGAACATCAACCTCCATTAAATAACAAAGAAAACAAAAACACAGCAATAAAAGTCAGACATTTTGTAGGAAGTGTCTTCATAAATGTACATTTGAGGAATAATGTCAAAGGCGTAACGCTTGAATGCTTCAATTCTGCCACATCATTTTGTGTAGGTCTCACATTGGTTTTGCAGCCCAGTGTGTGCGCTAGTGTGTGTACCCAACCCAGTTTACTCAGCATGAATAGAAACGTGCCCTCCAAGCTGCACTCGGCTGAATTAAATAGAAGCAGTAATAAAGTTGCAACTTGAGGGATTTTCTGACTCTGTGAAGTGGGAAAGAGAAGAGCTCTTAAGAGAAGCCCCACGCTGGTGTGTGTCTATGAAATTAGAAAATGATTATTAATACATGTGTGTGTGTGTGTGTGTGTGTGTTAGGGCTGAGCCAGTCCTGGCCAGAATAAAAGAGGACCACAAGAGGATCATCCTGCCGTCAATCGACAACATCAAGCACGACACGTTCGAGGTGGAGCGCTACGAGAATTCGGGTCACGGCTACAACTGGGAGCTATGGTGCATGTACATCAACCCGCCCAAACAGTGGTGGGACGAGGGGGACATGTCCGCTCCCATCAGGTGGGTCAACCGCATCTATAAAACACACACACACAACAGATTAACAGATTCTGGCCGAGTTCCGTCATGAATTTTGAAAATGACATTCGGTGACATCAACCGATTAACACATATACACACAAAATCTTATTTTTTTTAGCAGTTGTTTACAGATCTCATAAAAATACTGAAGCTATTTTGAAGAAGCTGATTGTTTCACCATTTTATGTGTCTTAATATTAGTCAACATTTTTTAATCTGGAACTCACCAACAAAAGCCCCATATCAGTTTGTAATCAGCAGTCACCAAACAAACTTGTCAAAGACGCGATTCAAGCTGCTCACGAACACTTCAACTCCTCCTGCCAGATTTCTAGCGTGCTAAATATTTAGTTGAATCAGAGGCAACCACACATACCAGACGTGAGTTTCTACTGGTGTGGTGTGTGGTCCATTGTTACCGCTCATTTGTGTAGTACAAACTCACAGCGACTGCAAGACTCCCAATCACATAACGGCAAGTTGCGTAGTGTGAACTGGACTTAGATTTTGAATCCATCTGCATCCACACGTACAAAAACAACACATTCCCACAGACTCTGATTCACAACAACAGTCACACACCCCACGCAGATATTTTCTTAGGTTCAGCCTCGCAGTTCAAATTGTTGTTTTTTTCCTAACTGCAGGACCCCCGCCATGATCGGCTGCTCCTTTGTGGCTAACCGCGATTACTTTGGCGAGCTGGGCCTGCTCGACTCGGGCATGGACGTGTACGGAGGAGAGAACATCGAACTGGGCATCAGGGTTTGTGTGTCACCTCCTCTCGTCCCCGCTCCCTCCTCACCCCTGTAGGTTTAAGTGGAGCAGTGGCCACCGTCGCGTGACACCGCTGATAAATGAGGCCCCATTAAGAGTTCTGGAGGAGCAGTCCTGGTGCAGTTCACAGCCGGGCAATGGAGATAAATAGGTCACACAGAGTGGGAAGCGACTGTACACTCAGAGATTGGAGTTTGTAATTGTTGTGCAAGGTTATTTTAGGTTTTATTTTGCTAAGACAGAGAGAGAGAATCTCAATATAAAGTTCTTACAACTCAGAAAATGTCTAAACCTCAACTGTAACAAAGTATTTGTTCTATGCATTGATTATTACAGCTGATTGACATTATACCAAGTACAAATTTTCGAAACCAAATAG